GTACTTTTAAAATCAGCTAGCTATGAAGAATATATCACATGTAAACTACTAGGGCAGTTTTTGGCATTTCTTTATTGTGTTCATTCAGCTTGCAGTGATAAAAATAAATGAAATAAAAAATGTTAATGCGCTCAAACCAGGAGAGCACATCATTAATATAACAATAAACATTTTATAATATTGCAATACATAATACACAATGTTGTTTATAGAGACATAGAAACATTTGTTAGTCAAGACACGTACATGATTTGGTTCACAATGACCTGCAAGAGGTCAAGTGCATGCATTGTGCATGCTAAAGGCCATTACTAAACCAAAACAGATATGTTTGCATGAAACCAGCAGTCTGTTGTTAATGTTCAATGTGACCCAGATCTAACGTTGCTGTAGTCTCATTTCACAAAATACCTGTGGAGCACAACCTGCCACGGGCAGCATGCTTGCTGTCTCGTTGCCTTGAGCCTGCTGTCTCTGTATCCTCTCTTCCACCTGAATGAGAGTCTCTAATTGCTAGAGGATTTGCTTGGGTGTGTAACAATGTAGGCGATAGGATTAATCTACCTGAGTCCCAACCGTAAACTCTGACAGTCTAAAAAAATGTTTCTCTCCTCAGAGATATTGTACAGCATGCTTGTTTATTTTTTTCAATAATCAGGGGAAAGCGAATTGAACAGTCAAACACTGCAAGACGGATGGCGTAATCACATCACAGTTTGCCAGCAATATTTATATAAAAACTTCCATAGCTGGAGATATGCGTTGTGCTGAGATGACAAGTGGCATATTGGCTCAGAAAGCCATTCTTGGATTCATATGTATTCTAGGAAGCAAGTATGTTTGCTCTGTATTGGTTCTATTTCTATGATGACACCACATAATGAAAGCATCTTATAATAAAAATAAGTCCATGAACTAACATATGAACCACATACAGTACATTAAAAGGGATCATGAACTGACTTTGTTTATTATTTTGTACTGTTTTGTACTGTTCTCTGAGGTCCACTTATAATGTTATCAATTAAATTTATTTCATTATTAAATAACATTTTTTTTTTTTTTTAGAAGTAATAGGCTATTGTCTGTCCCATTTTGACCCCTCATCGGAACGCTCTGTTTGAATAGGCGTGG